GTTGATCAGAGAAGCCTTGTCCTTCTAAGTATTTGCTGAACGTTGTGAATTACTTAGAGTGAACAAAAATAGACCTCTAATGTAGATCAATTAATTTTAAGCATGATTTATCACACTGAGAGTCAAAGTGAATTCATTTGAACTATAACTTTGCTTAGTTGACGTTCATATAACAGAACTTTGAAACCATCCTGTAAGTAACTTGGTTCGCTTATGAAAATCCCATATTAGTCACCATATCACTGAAAAGCCTCTTTCTGTTATTTCATATAAATACAGGGGAGATTCATCCCGCATGACTTCAGCTCTCCACAGGCTGCTCTACATGGCTGATGTGTCATTTGTTGCGTCAGTTTAAACATGCTGGTGAATGACAGATACAAATGTGTAAAAATGGATGAATAAGTCGACACTAGAGTGTGATGTCATTTGTGACTAAGTCCTGGTTAACACAGTGAAGCAGCTCTTCACAGATTGACTCGTAATACACAAAACCTTGATGTAAACTTCAGCAGCGTGACTCAGCTAATTCTTTTTGTCAGTGATTGCAGCTCCACTAGTTGCGGTTGGCATTTCAGCCTGCATCCGCCGTGGCCTTGACTGGGGGGGGGGAACTCCGTCACCCCCATCACCCCCCATCCACACCTACCTACACCTGCTGACTGTCCCACTGAGCCTCCGCAAGGGTCTAAAGCCACACAAGCTTAAGGAACTGCATTTTATCTAATTATTATTAAAGCCGCTTCCTCTTGTAGTCCAAACACGTACAGTTAGGTGAACTGGCCTCTTTAAATTGTATGTAGTGTGTATTTGAATGTATGACATTCTGTCCATGTTGTTCCCCTGTATTCAGCCCCCCCCCCATGACTCTGTATTATTTAAGTATTTGGACAATCCATATATAGATGGATTATACACTCAGTGATCGGTTCACTGCTTAAAACTTGGGCCTATAGACGGAATAAAAATTGTGAGGGGGTCTGGCAACTCAACTCCTCAGTTGATTTTTCCAGCTGGGGGCTGAAGCAAATTTCGAAGGGCGGTGCAGACTTGTAATTTTACTACCTGGATGACCTGGAGCAAAACATTTTGTATTTTGCTACATGGCTAGGTGCCTGGTATATTTTCTTGTTAATGAAAATGGCCTGCTCATCTAAACGGAATCCATGCATGCAGGTGGGCTAAGTGGGTTTGTTATGCACGTTGTTTAGCATTTGAGTGGCTAAGATTCCTGATCTAAGTCATTCTGAACGAGGTGCCAGTTATCCTACTTCCGGAGTCTCAGAGACTTGGGAGTTTCACACAGAACAGTGTCTAAGGTTTACAGAAAATGGTGCAATGAGGGAAAAAAAAACATCCAGTCAGCGGTAGTTCTCTGGGTGAAAACACCCTGTTAATGAGAGGTCAGGGGAGAATGGTCAGACTTATTAAAGCTAGACCACGAGGGGGAAAATAACAAGCTCAGTACAGCAGTGGTGTGCAGAAAGGCTTTTCTGAATGCAGTTGTCTGCCCTTGAAGTATTACTGGAAGCGAGTGTGGGATCCTACCTAAAAAGCAACTAGTGGATGGACAGGAGTGTCTTTCCGTTTAATTAGCCGGAGCTAATAATGGAAGGTGAATCACACAACAGAAGCAAATTACTGACCAGAAACTCAATAGCTCTTCATGATATGCACAAAATAAAAATAATGTATATACCAGATGGCATAATGCTTGCTATAATCAGCTATATGAATAAATTAATTTTTGATTGATATTTTTTTATAGCACCTAGATTTTTTTTTTGTTTGTTTTAAATGTAAAACCCACCGACTGCAGTATTTTCTATAAAAATGAAATAAGTTCCTTGCAATCCTCTAAAATCTATTTTAAGAGACCAAAACGGTACCTACGGCACAACCAGACTGATAAAGTGATTTGTGAAATGGGCCCTGAGATGTGAAAATACCAGTCTGCCCTCCAATGGTGGATCCAAGATCCAAGCAGCTATTGGGTGTCATGTTCCAACAGGGGATGAAAAGCCGTCATTTTACTGCTTCCCTTTAATTACTGAATTACTAAAATGCGATCTAATGTGAATATTCATGGCCTCACACATGATTGCAAAAATGTGAATGCTGCAGTATTTTAGAAAATAAAAAACATAAAAAACAGTGTAAAAGTGAATAAACTGCACACCCCATTTCCGCTTACCAGATTAACAGAGAGTAAAACAAGTAAATGTAATGTAAAAAAGTGGCACTGTCAGAATGGAGAAATTCCGTGAAGGTAAAGGAGGAAGAGGATGATGAGGATGACCAATCACGTGGTAGATGGATTCAGCAATCACACGCATAAAAGTGGAATGTCTGAAGACATGGAAAACGGAACATTCCAGAAGAGTTCCAGACTCTAAATAGACTTGACAGCATCCTAATAATTATAACATGGATCTGATGAGTCAGTGTGGTGGTAAATAGTACTAGAACTTACAGGTCGAAGTCCTGGATAGGTTCTTACAGTATGTACCTGTAAGTACAATTCTCACCACGAGTAGTTCCTGGACGTAGGTGAAACTATAAGCAGCTTTGAATAAAGGTTTCCGAGTATTACCAAAGAACGAGACATTTACAGATATGATTAGAAATACATGCATGAGGGCACAAGTACAGCTGAGTACTTTTACACGTCAAGACGATCTTAAATGCAGTCATTCGGAGTAAACGATGTATTGTAAATCTGGGAGAGCCACCTGCTTTGTGCAGTTCTGGATCCTGGGCTTGCTGGCGTTTAAGGCATTTGTCATAAGCTGTTGACCAAACTCCTGTTCTCTAAATGAGGGATGAATTCTGCAGATGTGCGACGCTGAATAGCTCTGCTAATCCCGCAAGCCGCACACGTCTCCAAGTTCATTAAAAAACCTAGCAACACACAAGCCTTTAGACAGAGATGTTAGATGTACTGTCACACACAGTCTAGGGAACTCGTTGACAGCCAAAACAAGAGGTTTCGTTATAAATAGACTGAGATCTATGTTATTGGAACAAAGTGTATATTTTTTTTTCTGTAAATACGCAATAAGACTTCTTAAAAATTCCCTCTAAACATTCTAAATCAAGTAAACCATGCTTATGGAAAGGATTCATAAAAACCAAAAAGAAAATTCATAAGTCGTGCATTAAATGCGTTTGTCTATTTATATGAAATCCTGCATGTTTAAGAGTTGAACTTCTCCCAAACAGACCATGCTTTGCATTGACAAGCATCTCAAGCCTGTTATTTTATGCAGGGACCTCTGTGGCCGTACTACGGAGTGGGGTTACTGGCTTATCGGGGTAACTTGCTGGATTTAAGGTAGTCTGGGCAAAATGTAAGTGAGCGAATATGAAGTCCATTTAAACTGTGGTACCTTAAATCTGACAAGTTACCCCGATAAGCCAGTAACCCCGCTTCATAGTACTGGCCACTGGTTCTCCCTCCACAACAAAGTATTGTTATTGAGCCATTCTTCATGCACTATTGTGAGTCTGTCGTTTGTCTGTCGTTTGTCTGTCGTTTGTCTGTCGTTTGTATCTTTCTTAGCATGCCATTAGCAGTTCTGTTAGCGTCAGGTATCTCTGAACAAGTAAGCCGTCCGATGCACTTGCTGCATGTGGCCAATAAAACATCTCGCACATGTGTTTACCTGCGAGTGCCGGTAATATTACCTTGCACGTATTTCTGCTGACAGCAGGTGGAAGCAGCTGACATATGCAGCGTTAAAGGGCTCTAAGAAGGATGTTATAGTACAATATACAGAAATGTTAGACTAAGGCCAAATCCGGGGATAAAATGAAAATTGCAGTGTCAAAAATGACAGCCGTACCCTGTGGTAGTTATGGAGAAGCTGTCAAAACAGCAAAGAGGGGAGGAACACTTTTAAAAACACTCTAAAAGCTCTTCGTAAGGATCACCCATAACAGCAGATACTCCCCAGGGTCCTGGCTCCGTCTTTCTTAGAGAAGCGTGTCGTCTGAGACGGTATCATGCCAAGAACAGCTCGAGCTCCTCACCGCTGCTATATAAACTGCTGTCAAAATGTTTTCAGTCTGTTTTGCTCAAAGTTTTCCACATATTCTCGGTTAATTTTGATCTCCTCCTCCTCTGGGCAAATTAGCAACAAAACTTAGCAAGGATTTAGCACCTCAAAAAAGCCTTTGAATAGTAACTGAATTTGTTACGCAGTTTCAAACCTCTTAAGACACTGGCAAGCCATACATACAAATAATCTGCAGCCCGTCTATGTCTATACGACACACCTGAGCTTTAGAGATACCATTCTACCTAAAACCGCAATATCGGGGGAAAGCCACGCACCAAAGTGGGGGGGGGGGGATAAAAAACGCCACCCCTGGAGACCCATCGAGCCACAGTCTGATAGCTCAAAAATATTAATACAAAACAAGGCCTCTTTGTTACACCAGCATGTACAGTACTGTGCAAAAGTCCTAGGCAGTCAAAGAAAATTATGTCTAAATGATCTTCTTGCTGGTGTACGATATGTATGATACACATGTATGATATTATATCTGTATAAGTGTGTCAACTTTCCATTTCAAAACCTCTCCTAAAGTCACTCCAGTATTTCCACTTAACAGCTAATATATTTCATGACTCGACCACTAATGATATCTTGTATGGCTGATCGATACCTGATTGAGTTATTTAACTAATTAAGCTAATTAATTAATTGAGCTGGTGGTGAAATTTAACGAATGTATGGAATGGCTGAGGTGTCCCTGAGGAGAGGTTTGGGAACTGAAGCCGTGTTCATCTAGACATCCAGCAGGATATCAGTTTACTCTTTGGAGAACTGAAGAAATTTTTTATTGTATTATTGTAAATTTGAATAGAGTCTAATGTTAAATTGATATATCTACTTGCTACCAAGAATAATAGCATTAAACATTGTCTTAGACCACCTACTGTATTTTACGAAATCCACAAAAACACATGATGTAAGAGTAGTTAGCAAGCTTACCTAGAAATATTATGCTTTGCTTTCGGGATTCTCTGGCCTGGGAGCTCTCGTGTTTAGGCAGGGCTTCCACCCGTTTGTCGCCTGCTTTGCTTGAAATCCTCTTTGTGCCTGACAGCACATTGATCATACTTCTGCACATGAAGCCCACACTGACCAGGACAACAATATACACAATGAATGCTACAAAAATGCTGCTCCTGTACATCGTCCACATGGAGTTGAGGTTTGTGCAAAAAGTCATGTTCCGCGTTGCGCTATTGTTTACTGCGGATCCCCATTGGTAAGGTTGTTTGTTCAGATCCAGAATGTTCTCCACTCTTTCCGTTCCCATGGCATACAGTAAGGGTAGGGCCACCAGCACTGAGGTAACCCAGACGAAGATGATGAGCTTCACAGTTCTGGCGCTGGAGAGCGATTGGTACTTCAGGGGGTGGCAGATGGCCACGTACCTCTCGAAGCTGAGAGTGGCTACGTTCAGGATGGTGGAGTAGCTGCATGCCTCAAAGAGGAACTTGTAAATCTTGCAGGAGACCTTCCCAGAGGTGGACGATAAGGGGAACCAGGTGGCGCTGTACAGCTCCACGGGCATGCCAATGAGTAGCACGAGGAGGTCCGAGCAGGCCAGGCTCACCATGTGGTCGGTGACGTTCTTCTGCAAGTAGCCCTTCCTCAGCAACACCTGTGTCACCTTGATGGTGATGCTGTTTCCCACGATCCCCAGCACCAAGATGGTGCTATACAGAATGGTCAGGAAGATCTTTATGGGTGTTTCATACTCCAGTTCTTGCCAGTGCTTCAGCTTCAGCTCCATGGCCGCATTGTACTCTGAAGCCATGAGTTACTCCAGACCTATCTCTGCTGTTTGTTTATCTTTTTAGAAGTTTCTCCGGTGAACCCTGTGATTGGTCTTGCGCATAGGCTGCTGGAGGACTTCCTGGCTCTAGTGGTTCCTGAAGTGGCCGGGAGTCAGCCAATCTTCCTCCTCCTCCTCCTCCTCCTCCCGCCAGCACAGGCTGTGGGATCGCTCAGCCTCAGTGGGCGAACCGGTCATGTGATTCGCCGTCAACACCGTGCTTTTTAGTACTTGTCACAACAAGCTAGACGACATTCCCTGAGTGTCTGGGCCATTTCGAACACGCAGCAAGGAGCAGATGTACTTTATGACAGCAGCAAGGGGAGAGGAAGTTAAAAATTAAGCCCACACTCATAAAAAGAAGAGAACTCGTCATTCCTGTTGTTATCAGTGGTATCTGGACTTTTCGTTTTGGAGGAAATTCCCAAGATGAAACATTCATGAGTCTCATAAAAAATATAAATATATACAAAGCAGTGGTTAAACCTGGGACTGAGATGTATCATAGGTCACTTTGATTTCACAGATTTCCTCAACTATCTGTAAAGTTAATAATGGTTACTTTGAGCCTCCAGACATATCAGCTATGTTTAATGCCATTCAATGGTGACCCGGACATACAGGTATGTGTCTATAGGGTACATAAAATGTATATATAATACCATATTTCATATTTCATAAGCAATACAAAACTGCAGTGGCAAGTATCCATAGTTTACTATTAATAACAGCAAGAAGAATGTGAAGCCATTGTGTAATTGTTTATCTACACTACTTACATTACAACACGTAAGTGATAATTTAATCAGCTTAGGAGTTTGGTTGAATGCCAAATCACTGTTCATACATGTCAGGGGCTGAAATGTCTTTACCCTGCGTTTACCCTGTTCATATCACGCCAACTTTGTCTAACATGTTTTATTCACTGAAAAACAGTTTTTTTTTCCTGTGGGGACAATAAAGTATCTATCCTATCACACACAATGAGCATGTGGCACATCTTCCAGAGAGTACGCTGCTTTTAAGCTGACTGGATGCTGACATGAGGAGCCGGGCTATGCATTTCCAGGGTGACCGGTGAATTCTGAAATAAACCTGCCACTAATGATGATCTCATAACATTTGGAGGCAGCAAAGTACTCCTAAAACAAACAGGAAAGGTATGTTTAAACAGAAACGTCATGTATCTTTCCAACAGGCCGAACGGCTGCGTAATTTCTGGCTGCGGCCATTTAATTCAATCAGATTTATATGCTACATCTGCGGTCTTATCAAAAGTTAAATGATAAAAATAACAAACAGCACGGTTTGCAAGTCGGGATGTTAAGTTCATGTGTTGCAGAAAGACAGTGAGGGAATTATTATGTTGAGTAAGAGTAAAGATTAGCAAAACGTAGCCAACAAAACAACATGATATGAGTCTGGAATTAGTCACTTTGGAGACGGGAAAAACATACACCCAAATTGCCCAAAAAGAGTTTGTACCAGTCACTCCCTGTTACAAGCCTTCTAAAAGTGCCACGGAGGGTCACTCAAACTGCTTCATTAACACTGGGCAGTAGGACACCAGGTACCTGGGCAACTTCAACACTTTAGCTAGCAGCAATATTTTAATGCATATAACGGGTTACGTACCTGATCTTTTGAGGTGAAGATAGACTAGCATTACATATGCTGTTCCTTTCATGTTAGGTTTGTCTTTCCTTGCATTATCATTTCTACGCTGTAGTGTCCCCTAAGCCTGCGATTCCACACCCCTGGACAGTCCACATTTTGGGGGAGCTGGGAAGGAGCAAAAATGTTGACTGTCTGGCATTTTTGCTCTCTCTCATCCAATCAAGAATGTTGAATACCTGTTATGGGTGTGTTGTGAGCTGGAAGACTGCAAATATGCGGACTGTCTGGAGAAACACTGCCCTGTGTCGTCTTCGCTCTCGTGTCTTCACTCTGCTCCTCATCTCATTCCCTCTTTTATCACTTCTTCGGCCGCTTCGCCATAACCCTGCCAATGCCACAGCCCCATATTTGGTCCGGACTTCCCGATTGACTTACATCCCCATATCCGTCAGTGGCAAATCTTACCAAAGACACCCATGCTATTTAGCGGCTAAATCTGAAAACACTCAGCTGTCTGGTCAGTCTATTTTGGATAATCGCCACCCAAAATACCTTATTCTACAATATCAAAACAGTCAGGAAACTGGCCGTGTAAAGTCTGTCCAGCATCCCTGTTATATCCAAAACTGAAGTGCTTAAATGGCTTCAACCTCATATAAAAATAAACCTCCAAAGATGACAGCCTGCTGTTACATATAGCATTATGTGCAGTTATATATTATATACCTGCAGTGCTTTGGTATACAACACAATCAAACTTGGCATCTCTCTCAGGATAGATAATATAGCTTTCAAATACATTGCCCACTGTTTTATCTAACCAACCAATCACCAGCCATCTTATTACTGCCTGTGCTGGTCAGGGTCATGGGGCTGCTCTGTCTGGTTATAAAAATAATACGTGAAAAAATTGTGGTAAAGTACTGATTTATGGTCAGGAAAAAAAATATAATTTAACATGGCATGATGGAGAGGAACAGAAAATAAAGAATAAAAAGAAAAAAGATTAGTAATTATATCAGCTGGAAGGATTAGGATTCTAGCACCACTGGAAGTGGTAGTAATTTCAGGAAAGAAGATGATTTTATCTGTAATTTACCGAATGAAAAATAGTTCAAATACGAAAGTAAAACAGAATTTCAACAACAAATCCTGTAAGACTGTGAATAACAATCCAAAATGTTCACATTATGAGTCTTATCTCACAATAAAATTCATCCACGTTATCACTTCTTAAATATATACAATTAAAGGTGAACGTTCAACAGATGTTTAGCTATAAATTGTAATATTTAAAAAATGTAACGTTGTGCGTTCCTGCAAATCAAAGAGCAGTGCAAATGTAAGCTAACTTCTAACAGACATCCGACAAACATACAACTTTTATTTCAGCATTATTTCGACTCAGACAGAGCCTCTGTCCAGATACGGAAGCTGAAATGGGAGCTGAAGGCACCTACAGCACGTCGAGACAGAGACAGAGACAGAGACAGAGACAGAGAGATCCCATTTAGCGTTGGATTCCTTATCACCTGGGTGTGCATTACACCACTGAAGAGGGACGTGTGGGGGGCTGAGCACCTGCCCCTTTTACATGAACGATTGAAAGTGACTCCCTTCTGAATCCTGAGTGCCCCTTTTCACATGTTACCGAGGGGGACCAAGTCAGCAAATCTGCCCCTCAAAAAAGTCTCTGCACAGCCCTGCTAATCAAATCTGTGGTTTTAACCAAACATGGGGTGTCTGTGTTACATGGATTACCACAATCCTCAAGTCAAGAAGAACCATAAAATCAGAAGCTATGCTTTCCATGTAAAATGGTATAAACCATTCACCATCCCCTACTAAATTGACTATAATGGCTGCTGGGCTTCTTAAGGTGTTTGTCATACTTTTATTCATGTTCGGACTATTCGGGGCTACTATGGAAAATAAGAGCGAGCACGGCTGCATTGTTTACACCGCAGAACAGCTGCTGGTGCCGCGGATCACAGCCCGACTTACCGCCGTGAAACCGGAGAAGCAGCACCGTGAGGGCGCAGAACTAGAATTAAGGCTGGGCCACACCTAGGGCGACCACCTAATTCCATATTGGGGGGGGGCACTATGAGCTAAGACAGGGTTTGCAAACTACCATTTAAATCAATAAGACCAAGATTTCACTTCAGCACTGAGTTCTTGCAGTATGATCATGTATGTGGAACAGCTGGATGAGTCTTTCAACCTAGGAAACAAACCAGTAAAAAGACAAGAAGAATTAATTATCCAAGCACAGGAGCCTTTCCGTTTTAAAGTAATTTATGAAACCTGAAGTGGCTCATAGTGCCCCCTGACATGGGTTGGGTCAGGTGGTCACCCTCGGTACACCCTGGATGGGGTGTTGGTACAGCCCAGGATGCATATGCACACCACAGGCAATTCAGAGACTCTGATTGGTCTAACTGCATGTTTCTGGACTGTGGAAGGAAACCTGTGTGACATGGGGAGAAAACGCAAAGTGCACACGTGCAGGGTGGAGGTTAGAAGTAACAGTGCTACCAAGCCTGAGCGATTAATTAAAATGCCAAATTGTGTAATTAGCGATACTGTAGGTTGGTGCTTCTGGGAGAGGCTCCGGAGCCCTGCATAGGATAAACAGGAAGAGAAACTGGACGGATTGATGTATGGAGATTCTATCAGTACTTAGTAATGAAAACGATAAAGGAAACCGAGCGCTGTAGTTAAAGCCATCTGTCCTCCATCGGGAGAGGAACATGGAGGCTGCGTTTCCATTAGGAAGTTCCTCATCCAGTCTGCATAAAGGATGCCCCTGGATGGAAGTGACCTCAAGGAAACGTCTGGAGGCTGCGGTCCGGGCGCTCGGTGCGGAATGCGGCTCTGGGTTTGAGCGATGACCCAGCCTGCTGGGAAAACGCGGCGCTCTGTCACCTTAACTCATGCATCTTCAGTATCAGCAGCCTTCCATGTGGCTGCTGGTGGCTCCCTGTGGGAGGTAAATCAATGATAGCATCAGTGGCCCCAGAAGGGGTTTGTGGGGGGGGGGGCATGATTCACAGCCAGTAGGAATCCTGTAGTTGGAAAGTCACTGCCAGTGTCCCGAAGAGAAAGCAGCTGAATGTCTGCTTAAGTTATTTAGAAACAAAATTCATTTGAAGATTATTAGAAATGTACATAAATCAGCCCCCACCTCAAATAGAGCAATATGCCAAGAAGCAAGCCAAAGTGACCCCTGCGTAGCAGCAGCTGGGGGGCCACGGCCTGGGGCTGGTGTGAGGCGGCTGGAAAAGGGCACTTGTGGGGGTCAGCGGAGTTGACGAGGATACAGGCACAAAACCAAATCTTCATTTTATTTAATTTAATCACAAAAAAATAAATGAAAACAGAAAAGGAAGAGATGAAAGCCAAAGAGTCATTTAGTGCGAATTACAGGAAAAAAAACTGTCTGCAGTTCAAAGAAAGTTTGAGGGCACTCGTCATAAGGGGGCGACGTGCTGCACGCCATGGCTCACATGATGGTGGAAATTCCCCATCACCTCCTTCTTCTGTCCTGCTTGATCCCTCTACCGGGAAGCTTCTTAGAAAGGCAGAGGAAACAATAAGGCGCAGGACCACAGGGGCCCATGAGACAGGCAGAGAAGATTCATTTTCGTGTCCAGAAAAAAGAACCACATGCTACAGGGAATCTGCAGTGAATGGCCTGTTATTTATTTTTCAGGTCTGGGAACAAAGACGGGTCCAGACAGTCGGGAATAAACTGGAGGGAGGGAGAGAGAGGGAGACAGAGAGGGAGAGAGAGGGAGAGAGAGAGAGAGAGAGAGAGAGAGAGAGAACCTTTCAGCATATTGGTGAAGAAAGGAAAAAAACAACACACAAGACAACCACTACTTAAGGATCCTGGTGGGGATTGAGGTCTGGGTATAGCAGATACCGTAATAAACACACAACAAATAGACAAGATAGATACATGAATTGATGGATGGATAGATGGGTGGATAGATGGATGGATAGATGCACGGATAGATGGATGGATAGATGGATGGATAGATGGATGGATGTGTGTGTCTTATATGCTGTCCCAAAGGATAGATAAATAGAGTGTTAGAAATCTGCAGTGAGTCACTCCTTTGGCGCCAGCTGCAAACAGCCCAGTTTACCCACAGCAGATGGAAAACCCAAACCAAAATAGTTATGTACTTCACCGTCACACCCATGTTCTGCAATGGGAGCAATCAAGTGACTTCAGAGAGTTAATGTCCCCTTCCATGCATGTCTGTATCATTACTAATAAAATTAGCTGTTTCATGTAGAGCCGGGCCTGTGTTCTTCTGAACTCCTAACATATCCAAGTGCAATAAATTCTCCAAAGGTTGCTTCAACTTTGGTATGTAGGTACATGTGTAGTGATTACATCTTTCTATGATCATATATTTGCTAATCTGCTGGACTTTTATGGTGCGTCCATGAGAGATGGCTGCGCCAGCTACACATCCCCGCCCCCAAACCCTTCACCGAAAAAAGCGAGGGTGTAAAAGCGGCTTTCTTGTTGGTGCGCCGGACGCCCAAGGAATTTATTTAAGGAAACCCATCAAGGTGCCTCATCAGCCTCCGTGTTGCCATGAGACCGCTGCTGAGTTCATTCCCTCAACCGTTAACAGGAAGCTGAAGGCATAATTCAGGAAGAAAATAACCCTGATATTTTAAGAGGCCACAAGATACAAAAAGGGGGTCAAATAATAATAATATAAAAATCAGCAGGGTTTTCCAAACTTGCTGACTCTCAGGCCGAAGCGTGCCAGTCCTGCTCTCATATTGTTAAATCACATCCAGCTGCATGAGCAGCTAAAATGTGTAAAAATAACAACCCTAAATAAGCAGCAGGGTGAGTAGTTATGACTGACGTTAATATGACTTTAAGAATAAGCAAAACGCATACAAAGAGAACTCTGGCCTTTCCTCCCACAGTATTGATCCTGTTTGAATGTTATTCACGTTACCTTGGCCTCACGTGACATGATCGGAAAGCTATTATGTGCGAGTTGTGCCCAATATTTTGGGTCTTTTCCCGTTTTTCACCTCATGCTGGGTGCATGAAAACAGCTAAACATCCCTTGTTGTGAAACTATGGATTTTCAGGCACCTTTATGGCAAAGACTCTTTCTAATTCCTGTTTGATACACACACAGAGACAAACAGACGTGAAGTTCGATTTATACTGCCTGGAAGAAAAGAAACCGAAAGTAACCTGTTCTGGTAACTGAGAGAGCCAATAAAAGGTCAATAGCACCCTCTAATGGAAAACAGGGGAATGGACCTAATAAGTCAATTCTGCATATACAGTACACACGAAATATCAGTTATTAGTACAGTTGCCAAATCCCTAATTTCCCCCATTGTGTCACAGGAGTTTCTTCCCTTAAATCCTCAGCAACCCCCCCCCCCACCACCACCCCAAAAAAACAAAAAACAAAACAAAGAAACTGGAAGTTAAGTTCTATCGTGAACGTCTTAAAATAATTCAGACTCAGAGTTCACAGCAATTGTGGTCTACTCACGTGCCCAATTAACCTGACTGCTGTGTTCATCACACCTTGTCAGAACAGTAACTTCTAAGGGTCCATGTGACATGGAACTGCAGCGACCTCCATGCTTGCAGTGTTTATACAGTTACCGTAACAACACACTGCCCATCCAGCTCACGGTGACAGATAACATTAAACCCAGTCAAGTGGTTCCTCTAAATACAATAGGTGAGAAGGAAGTGATACTTCATTATTACTCATTTCATACAAAAGTCCTCCTCAGAATTCTGTACAATGTCACAATTTTCATCACTGTTAACACTGGAGCTATTAATTAGAACGAGAGATAAGCCACTAATGCAAAGATGGGAACATGATGACTGATGTGAACTAAATATGTTAATCAGTCTAATTATTCACATGACTAATTATTCTAATTATAGACACAAGTCAACAACAACACGACTGAGAAAGCTGGGTCACACAGTCACTAGAGCAATTAGGCTTAAGGGCCTTACTTAGGGACCCAGTGAAATTACTCTGCTGACCGTGGTATTTGAACAAATGGCCTTTCTATCACAGGCACAGTGTCCTAACCTGCTGACTCACACACTGTCCCCATTGTTTTCAACATTGTAGCAAGATTGTTTTTAACTTTACATGGAATGATAAATATTTAACAGCAAATTTGCGTTTTCACCACCATAGGTCTGGAGCAAAGGTGGAATTTGAGCCCCCAACCCTGTCCAGCCCCCCACCAATCTTGATATGGATAAGATGGCTTCGCAATAATACATTAATACACAAATGAAATGGCCTGAATTTGACATCTAAGTTCTTAATTAGAAGCTTTATGATTACCACAACCTGATTATGTTAAGTTAAATACTAATCATCTGACTGTGTAATTAAATGGTTCACTTGCACCAAAATTAGTTGCAAATCAAAGCCGCATTTTTTCCTGCAGTGAGCTCTTGCATATAGATTTGTTCCCCAACTCATCAAACATATGCATGTGGCTCAAACAAATCTTATCGATTGTGACACATTCATTATCAAGGCTCAGTGGAAGAACTTTGAAGTTCATTACATCTACATTTACAGTGCCATCTCTGACAGTTTTGCATACTTGATATTTATTGTACACTTGATTTATGTTGTGTATTCTGCATTATAGGTTTATTAAAGTGGTTAGATGATTCCTTCTGCATTGTGTGCTGAGTCCTGTAGTCCAATTCTGTATTACATTTGAATAACACACATCCTCTGTTGTGTTCCATATTTATTCTGTATAGTGTAGTTTTGGTCTTATTTTCTTTCCTCACTACAGACACCAAGGTGCACCAGAAATTTCCACAGGCCCAACTGCATGAAAATAAAGATGATGCTCTGTTCTATTTGCTGTGAATAACCCTGAAACTACAGAGATGCAGGTTAAACAGGAAGTGGAGGGAACAGCTCTGCTGTGTGTCTTTAAGAACAAGTGTCCTGTGACCAAGAAAGAAACGGGAAGTGGGCCACACATCACATACATGCTAGTGATCTCAGTTTCCTGCCAATACACACAAATTTACATATATGAGGAATGCATCAATCACACCCTATACTATATATGGAGTCCATAAAAAGTCATGCTTTTGTAGACTGGTGTCTATTCTTGATATTGCATTTTTGGGACTCTGGGGGCCGTAAGTAAACAAACTCTATGGGCCCCTCCAACTGCCCCTCTGCCAGTAACGGCAAAAAAATTACTGTAAAGTTTAGATTAATAATATAAACAAAGATAATTTAATAAACACAAGACCTTTATTTTGACTTTTTATGAGAAACAGAAAACACAAATAAATTAGATTTTTCGTTGTAATGTACAATTTAATCGGCCTCCATCGTGGGGGCCCCTCCCAGCTCGCCTCCCGCCCATTGCCTGCCCTGTCTCAGCACCTCTGCACGCTGCCGTCTATATATGGTCACATGGCTCATTTTCCATTTCCATTTTATACACTTATTTCGGCATTTGATGTGTGTAAATCGGCCGAAACAAAAACTAAAGCGGGCTCCTGGCGATGCCCGGGTGGGGTGAGTCCCGACCCCAAGCTCTGAGGAGTGCCGTGCCTCCCTCCATTCCTCCCTCCATTCCTCCCTCCGCCCCGCTGTAGCTGACGCGTCCCCGGCCCCCTTTCTTTCTCTCTCTGTCTCTCTCTCTCTCTGTCCCCTCCCCCGGTCCCTCCCTCCATGCCGGGCTGACGCGTCCCCCGCCCCGCCGCCGCCTGCGCTTCCTCCGGCGGCAGCCATCTTGCCACTCCCTGCGCTCAGAGGCTCGCATTGCGGAAGGAGGAAGCTCGGCTTGACGGCGCATCGGCGGTTCCGCCTCTGGCTGCTCGGCTCGCACCGTCGTTCTTGCCGTCCTTTTCGCCCTTCGCGTTGCCGTCTGATCCCCGGAGATGGCAGGACGATTGCCGGCTTGCGTGGTGGACTGCGGCACCGGGTAAGGCGCCCCGAAGCTGCGGCACCGCTGCGTGCGGGATCCGGAGCCGGTTCCGCCGCGGAAGGCAGGGTGTGGATCTCGTGCGGGCGTGCAGAACTGCAACCTGTCCGCTTCTCTTTCTTTCCATCTTTCTCTCGTTTATTCGCCTTAAAATAACTGCCCCGTGCCTGGCCGGTGAGCCGGGCCAGGCACCAGCTCCGGACCGGGTTATTGCCGAAAGGGAGCATGTCTAAGCGGCCGGCTGCCCCACTGCACGGCCGGGGCTCCTTCCTGTCGGCCGCTTTATTTCTTTCCCTTTCTCCGGTTTGCTTGATGCAGGAAGCAGGCCATCTTTGCGGCCGGTAGACGCTCACAAGGCTGCCGGCCTCCGGAGCAAGCAAGCGAGCGAGCGAGCGAGCGAGCGGGCGGGCGGGCGGGGGGTGGGGAGCTCCAGCTTCGGTCTCTTATTTACCGTCTCTGGTAGGAGGCCCTCGGTGTCTCACCATCCGTCACCATCATGACCACCATCTCCGGCATCATCATGGGCACCATCAGCACACCGATCGCGTCCGTCCTTCGCGGAAACACGGCCGGGGTGTCCGGAGTGAATCCCGGGAAGATTCCGAGCTCCTTTCCTATAATTTGCGTTTCTGCTGAGTGAATCGATGAGATAGTAAATTCCCTTACGGTGGCAGTCACGGAAGGGTCGAATTTGCCCTGGTATTACGATGTTTTTAAAGTGCTCTTTGCAAGGCTGCCAACTCTCACGTATCTGGCGTAACACAGACTCTCAAGCAAGAGGTCTTACAGCAAATCTATATTATTCCATTATGAACCTAAAATTAGCTACATCATAAGCATTGGGGTAGTTTGCAAACCCTGCAGACTAAATACAAGGAAATGCAACTGTTACATACATGTAAATGTGTGTGCAGACCTGTCTCGAATCGAAAATCTCATGCCAGCCAGTTGACCAAAGTTGGCAAACCTGGTTATGTGAGATCATCTCGGATAAGAGGAGTTTATCATGACTGTTTAAAGATGTATTTCTCAGATAATTGCATTTAGATGTATTTTTAGGCGAGTTAAAGCACTTTTCCATCGTACCGGTGGAAATCTGATGGTGTTTGATTTGCCTGCACTTTTTGCCTGTATGGGGCTATGCTTCTCCACATCTAGCAAATTCTGGAGCGCACTTCTCCGTGCCGGACACAGTGGGAGCTGTGCACTTCTCAGAGGAGGCTCTGCCCTGTCAGTGTCTCTCATGGCAGCCCCCAGACATCTCACCGAAACATCTCACATGTGCAGTAACTGCCTGCTGCCCTTAAATCTTATCCAAAGGTCAGGTCTCTTTGCCAAATGGGTCGATGTGCATGAAATTGTAAGAACAGTGTATTTGCATGTATATGGGTAAGCTACTTGTTGGGTCTTGTGCTGCTATGAAGTGTTGGAACAGCAACCAAAATGATGAATAGGCATTCAGCAGTCTGGGGGACCCTTAAAGGGGGGGAGGTGGTGTGACAAGGGCCCTAAAAATGTTGGGACATAATTGTATAGGTCTGTGTTGGGGGCCCCAATATGACACTTCCATGGGGCCCGAAATCTCTAGTGTCCCCTTGCAGGAGGCCCACGGATTGCTCGCTTCTCTGAACAGTTTGCGTCGCTGGAGCAGGTTGGCAGCAGACCTGAGCTCCTCACTGCTCCACTGACCACAGGCTTGAGTCATGAGGCATGAGAGAACGTCTGAAATGTGACCCAAATGGAAAGCCTGCTTTAAAAGCAAGAACGGTTTAGGACGGAATGGACCCAGCATTTGCCAGCAAAGGACTGAAAATAACAGAACAAAAATGCGTCTCATGCGTCCAAATGGCTTCCCTGGCAGGATGCTGAAGGTGATGCAGTGGGGCTGCAACTGTGCCAGTGGCAGCCTGCAGATAAACTGTAAGCAGTGTGGAGGAGAAGCATCTACCCTTATTTTTTTTTAGGGGGGTGGGGGGGGGTGCACAGAATCTCTTATTATAACAGCTGTTATTGCAGTGTGTTGTAACATGAAACGTTAACAGATACTTCTGTTCTCTTGCATTTCTGGGGTACAGTCACCTTTGAATAATTATTAATCTTCCAACAGCCTGTCATCTTTCAAGGCGGACTGCTCCGCTAATTAACTTCTCCTGCTGTTTGACTATCTATGGGGTCAGTCCTATGGAGTTGTCTTTACAGACTTTTTATATATAAATGAAGAATGCCTTTTATAGTAAACAAGCTAACTCTGCTGTAATTGGCTCTTGAGTCGAGTTCCCCTATTTTGTCAGCAGAATCTAATTTTGTGTATTGAAGTGGATTTCTTCTGCATTTCTGGAGGTTACGTCTTCAGAGCTCGAAGCTTGTCACCTTCTCGCCCATATTCTAGAACCCTGTGTTCATTGGTGCCAAATCTCACGGTTAACCTGTGAGATTCACAGTTTTTTTGCCATCTTACCATGACTCACTAAATTTTACAGGTTGCCCACCTCGCAGTTTTCACTGCCGGCAGGCTGAAATGTGTGTCTGTTAGCACATAGGAGGGGTTTGCTCACAAAGCCTCATTCGGCTCTCGGAAAAGAGGAACGTCTTCAGCGTGGCCTTTCCCAATGGCCAAGTTCCTTTTACTCCACGGTACAAACAGATACATCTCCGTTCACTGGAGGCCGCTATGAGTGGACATGTCTGAGACACTAAGACCATAGTCACCTAGCTGTCGAGCAGAATTGTGGGCGTCACGGAAAGCGGCTAGCGACTCTGCTATGTGTCCCTGCTGTTTGATTAGCTATGTGGCCAGTGCATGTGTTCAAAAATGCAAGGTATAAATCTCTAAAAATGGGTTTATAATTTACAAGAAAAAACTTGCTCATCTGACAGGACTCTAACACACCTGCCCCCCCCCCCCCCAGTTTGTTTGCATTGTACCTGGGTTTCTAGTGTGGCCCTTTCTGGAAATCTGATTGGCTGTTTACCTGTCAGTCAAACTGGGGTTGAAAGGAGGGGGGGTCACATATGTCATGGGGTGGTAACAGAGTGTCCATGAGGTTTAATGGGTGTAGAATGTTTTAGTGATTTCTCCCTGTGGATTGGACACTCACCTCCCCGCGGTGCCGGATCGCGGTGCCGGATCGCGGTGCCGGATTGCGGTGCTGGATCGCGGTGCCGTGCAGCTGCAGGCTTGTCGGAGCAGGTCAGCCAAGCGACTGGCTGGTATTTACTCTGGAATGCAGCCTTACTCCTGCGTGAGCTGGGCCGCCCTAAGGGCCCGCAGACGCGTAACTCCGCGTTACAGCCTTGCTCTCCCCTTCCTATCGCCGCTGCCTCCGTGCTTCCCTGTATGGCTTGACTACCCCCTTTGTTCCCGGCCCCCTAACCTGCGCATGACCTCGGCGTACAGGTGCGCTTTGTGCTGTGTGCTGTGGTCGAGTGGAAGTCGTAAGCAATTGAGAGGTTCACGTTTTCCCAAACTCTGTGGTGATTCATGTTCGAGATCATGAGTTTGAGGTCACAGCAGGGTAACATGTGGCAGACACACGTCTGGATGGATCTAAATGCAGGAGACCATCCCCCATGTACAGAATCATATCGCAAAGGCAGCAGATTTCTTGACGATTCCCTTTGAGCTTCTGTATAAATCCTTGGCCTCCCTGTTCTCTCTTGCTGCAGATCAGGCTTCTCTATATGGATGTTTTGAGTGCCGTTTTTTTTTTTTTGCTGAATCAGCCATTTTCTGTGGGGTCGTCTTACTTTCTTTGATTCCTGCTCGCTGGCGTTCAGACCACCAAGCCGCAGGTTTTATAAAAATTTGCAAAAATGATATGAGTGGATTGAAACTTGCGTTACTGCTGGGAAGCTGTGGAAATGTTGCAGAGAACTTTAGCCTGTACTACGAAGCGGGGTTACTGGCTTATCGGGGTAACTTGTCGGGTTTAAGGTAGTCTGGGCGAAATGTAAGTGAACGGATATGAAGTCCATTTAAACTGTGGTACCTTAAATCTGACAAGTTACCCCGATAGGCCAGTAACCCCGCTTCGTAGTTCAGGCCACTGATATATGATCCTGGCACAGTAATCTACCGATTTCTCTTCAGATGGTACACTCAGACAGTGTGGCGGGTGTGTGAAGGACAAAGGGCGTTCTTCCCCCCCCCATACTGTGTGAGGGCGGGGCCTATGTAATGGTGAACTGGTGTGATGTCAATGGTGTGCCATCATATCGAGTTCCTTGCCTGTTTTGCCACTTCGCTGAATGCTGATGAAGGTCAGCCGTCCCAGGTCGTCATGGTGGTGGATGGGGGGGGGGGTTGTCATGGTGACGATCAATGCTGGGCCTGCATCAATATCTGAATGCTGTCTCGTTCTCTTTCAGATACACGAAGCTCGGATATGCTGGTAACACAGAGCCTCAGTTCATCGTTCCGTCATGTGAGTTTCTCTCCCCTGGGGTTTTTAAAGGGGCTGTGCTGTGGGGTGTTTTATTCCCTGTATACCAGAAGAAGAAGGATAAGCCTGGACTGTAAGATCTAAACCCGTTTTGTTATCCAGATGAGTATGTGCAGGGCAGCCCCCCCCCCTGGAGGAAAGTACGCAAGTTCGTCTGGCCCTTTCACATCTCTGCAAATTGCTTCTGATGTTCAAGAGAGTCCGATTGGTCTGTGCGTGTGGTGTGGTGCTCATATTCCCATTGGCTGCCGACAACCTGCCAGTCCAGACAAGCTGACCAATCGCGATTCCGTTTGCTGGTTATCGGGTTATCAGTAAAGTAAATTCAGCTGACGGACATCTGTGAACATTATACGTTTTTGAATGCTCTACCCTAGTCCCATTTGGCAATAGTGTATCACAAAAAAATTTTAGATAAAATATAATTCATGTTCTGTGCACCTGTTTAAAGGAACTTGCCATTAAGCTAATTAAAGACCATACTTTGAAAACATTGTGATAAAAGGCAGTAGAGCCCTCTGCCTAATTTCTGTGTATTTTCATGTTCATTTATGTACTCTGTGTGTCCTTGTCGTGCTCTCTGATGGCCGGTTTCCACGGTGATCTCAAACACACAGATGTCCTCATGGAAATACAGGAAGTCCTCAACGCTGACTGAGAGCTTTTTAAATCAGGAATAAATCAGCCCTGCTCAGCATGAGGGGACCTTGTCTCCTGGCCATGCCAGCCACCATCCCCCCCCCCCCC